ATCAGGAGACACGCAGCTGCAATGCTTAAAGATAGAAGGAAGAAGAGTCCGGGGTGAAGCAGCCCGTGATGCTGCAGGGAGGCAGCTCCCAGCCCCAGGCAGGGTCCTGTCCCCAGCAGGACCCTTCGGGGGCTGGGGTGCAGGCACCCACAGCGCTCAGCACCGTGCGCTGCTGCAGAGCCCGGCGCTGGCACCTACAACCCCCCCCCCACACCAAGCTGCTCCCGTCCTCCCACCACCCTGGGCCCACATCAGCCTGTTCCCACACCCTTCTAAACAGAAAAAATGGATTACTTATCACATCAGGAGCACTCGACTGAGACTACAGAGCCTCACAATATGCAAACAGATAAAACGTAGCAAAAACCTCAGCCTGGGAACCAAGTGAGGGGGAGGGCCAGCACAGAACCTCCCCCCCACCCCAGCAGCCTCTCACAGGCAGCCTGCCCAGCCTCCCTGCAGCCGCCCAGCTGCCTTTTGTAGCCTCCCCACCAGGTTAATTGGGCCACTCAGCTGACCTTGATTTGCCACCCAAAGTCTTAAGGTGCTCTTTCACACTTCCCAGGGTTGAAGTCACACGTAGTCCCTTGCAGCTTTTAGATTTGCAGTGATTTCTAAACCAAGTCAATGTGGTGGGAAAGAAATGCTGCTACTCTACACCTTCCCCTGCAATAAGAGTTACAGAGAAGTTAGTAAATCTGTTTAACATCTTTGCTGGGGACATGGACAGTGGGATCGAGGCACCCCCAGCAAGATCACCCACGACCCCGAGCCGTGTGGTGTGGGGACAGGCGGGAGGGCAGGGATGGCACCCCAGGGGCCTGGGCAGGCTGGGGAGGGGGGCCCGGGCAAACCTCGTGGGGTTCAACACGGCCAAGGGCAAGGTCCTGCCCGGGGGTCAGGGCAACCCCCAGCACAAACCCAGGCTGGGCCCTCGAGGGGCAGCTGGAGAGCAGCCCCAAGGAGAGGGACTGGGGGGGTTGGTGGGGGGAAAACTGTCCGTGAGGCAGCCCCGTGCGCTCACAGCCCAGAACCCACCCGTGCCCTGGGCTGCAGCCAGAGCAGGGGGGGCAGCAGGGCCAGGGAGGGGATTCTCCCCCTCTGCTCCGCTCTGGGGAGCCCCCCCTGCAGTGCTGGGGCCAGCTCGGGGGCCCCCAACAGCAGAAGGACCCGGAGCTGCTCGAGCGGGGCCAGAGGAGGCCACGGAGATGCTGGGGGGGCTGGAGCAGCTCCCCTGGGGGGCCGGGCTGAGAGAGTTGGGGGGGTTCAGCCTGGAGAAGAGAAGGCTCCGGGGAGCCCTTCGAGCGGCCTCCCAGGGCTTAAAGGGGGGGCAGGAGAGGGGGGGGGGGACTCTGGGTCAGGGAGTGGGGGTAGGACGAGGGGTAACAGTTTTAAACTGAAAGAGGGGAGGTTTAGGTGAGATCTAAGGCCAAAATCCTTCCCTGTGCGGGGGGTGAGGCGCTGGCCCAGGGTGCCCAGAGCAGCTGTGGCTGCCCCCTCCCTGGAAGGGTTCAAGGCCAGGTTGGACGGGGCTGGGAGCCCCCTGGGCCGGGGGAGGGGGGCCCTGCCCGGGGCAGGGGGGGGGGGGGGTACCGGATGGTCTTTAAAGGTCCCTTCCCACCCAGACCAGCCTGTGAGTCCGCGATTCTGTGATTCTGTCACAAAACGAGAACACGGTACAACACGGCAGAGGCTCCGGGGCAGCAGAGTCGCCCCTCGGGCAGTGTCAGCCCGGGCCCCCCCTCACCCTTCCCGGCCACGGCCCCAGCGGGGTGCCCGCCCCGCACCCAGCTCCCCGCGCCCCGTGGCCGTGCCCACGGCGGGGGGGTCCCGGGGCAGCAGCCCACGCCCCGGACCAGGGTGTGGGGGGGTCACTCGCGGCCGGGGGGGGTCCCGCAGGACCTGCACTGCGCCGGCGGGTCACTAGATGGCAACTGGTCCCCACCGGTGCTCGCCCCGCAGCCCTCGCCGCGGGTCGCCGGGCAGGTGGGACCGGCCGGGACGCGGGGGGGCCCTGCTCCGAAAAGAGGGGGCTCGAACAGCGCCTGGCCGCTGTAAGCGGATGCAGCAAGAGGCAGGAACGCAGGGGTCGTGGGGCTGAGCCGGCCCCGGGGGAAATCCCCGCGGGAAACATTTCCCTTCGCTCGGAAATGGGGAAGCGGGGGCTGCGGGGACCTGCCCGGCGGCAGCGGCTTCCCTCGCCGGGGAGCGGCCAGCACCGCTGCAAACACAAGCGTGGCCTTGGGACTGCACTGCTTTTCAAGACAGACTGACAAATAGCGTATAAAACCGTAGATAGTTTTGTTTAATGATGGAGACGGACATTGTGGGTTGAGAGACTTGGCAGTGTCAGACCCCCAGCGTGACCATGAGCATTAACCCCGGGCGCTGGCGGAGCACGGTCAGGCACTGCCACCCCCGCCGCGCCCGGGCTCGGTGGCTCCGGGAGCTGAAGGACTCCTGGAAGGTCCCCGATGTCACGAAGAACATTCGAGCAGCCACCGGCCGAGCAGCAAAGGCACCTACAGCTGCTCCAGGCGGGCCCCCAAGGCCAGTGGCCAGCGCTGCATGTGCAGGGTAGACCACCCAGCATTGTCCCCCGCACCCTCGACCCCGTCGTCGCTGATCTATCCCCCTTCTCAGTCTTCCCTTCCCCTGGGTTTTCCCCCTAAAAACAAAACCAACCAAAAGAAAAAAAAAATCTGCAAAATATTCTTTTTTCATCAGACTTTCTGCCATCTTGATGAAAAACAACTAAATTGGCTCCTTGATTCAAAATTTAATAAATGAGATAGACCACTTTTTTTTTTTTTTTTTAACCAAAATGTCCATTTATCCGGCTAGTTCTGGCCCATAATTAACAGTCTTTTACATAAGCAAGAGCCAGGTCTCTTTTGCAGGATCTACCAGTTGCCTTTAGCACAACACAGAGAACTCTCTCGCGAAAACAAGCCTGGCGTGCGGGGGATTTTGTCTTGGGCAAGGTAGGAGATAATCTTTGCAGAGGGGCTTGAACAAGGGCATCATTTCAGCCCAAGGCCCGCTTCATGCCAGGCACAGCATGTTGTCCTTGGCCAAAAATAGGCTGAGAGTGGGAGGAAAGAACTCGTATCCCTGTCTGTTGTGGAAAATGTCAAAGGTTGCTCAGTGCCGGGGTGGGCTCGACTCCTCTCGGGATGGCGGGGGACGGTGGGGGGTGCACAGAGCTCTCCTGCACCTCTGGGCTGTCTGCTCTAAAGGTGGAGAGCTGCTTTCCCCACCGTCGGCGTGGCTGGTCCAGGCCACCTCTGAGGGCTCACCCAAAGTCTTTTGGTCTCCTTCTTTGTGCAGGCAGGTCTGGAACTTCACTGATGAAAAAGCCATGAAAAGTCAAATGTGTTTATCCTGATTCACTGCCACGATCAAAAAAAAAAAAAAAAAAGTATGAATGAAAAATTCAAGAGAGGAGAAATACCTCCAGCACAATGCCCAAACCCCCCCGGCTGGGCTCCCGAACGGGCGGGCAGTAGCTGTGCACGCCCGGAGCAGGGCTGGCACGCTGGCTGGCACCAGCTCCCCGTGAAGCGCTCACCAGGGTTCCACTCGGTTTTGCTGTTCTCAGGAGACCGGAACGCGACCAGGGCTGGAGGTGGCTTCGTCCTGGGCCGGATTTGCTTCCTTCTAGCCAGAGATGGGATTTGGTGACACACTCAGTGGTGGCTCATCATCCTCTGGACAAGGGGGAAGTTTGGGGTTTGGTAACCGAGAGTATTTTCTACACCAATAAATATTCATCAAGAGAATTGGAACCTTTCAGGTTTTGTTTTATTCTTCATCTGCCATTCCTGGTGGAAGGCGGCAGCGCTGACGAGCACACCCCCATAGCTCACCCTCTGCCCTAGGCTGGAGCGTGCAGCCCCCCGTGAACCCCGGGCCCCCGGTTTAAAGGAGGCCGGGGTGAGCTCCCCTGCACGCCGGCAGCAGCTCGCGCGCTACCCGAGCCCCTTCCCGGGGCGGGTTGTGCTCGGCTCTGCTGTGCCTGGGCGAGGGCAGCCCCAGCACGTCCCCCCCCACCGCTCCTGCAGCCAGCACCCACCCGGGACCCTGTCCCAGCCCGCAGCTGGGGTGCGAGGGGTCCTGCCGGAGCATCCCCATGGGCTCTGCGGGCATCAGCCCCCCGAGCCGGGCTGCCACGTACGGAGGGTGAGCAAACCGCTCCTCGTGGTGGAGGATTTTTCCTGGCAAAGGCAAGTATTTTATTCTCACAGGTACAAATTAAAGGGTTCATTCCCCTCATCACAAAATGTTAAAGAGCTAACGCTGGCTAATAGCTTTGTGCCTCATTCAGCCTGAGCCGTGGGGAAAAGGTACCAGACATGCTGCCTCCAAACAATAACAGCTCTTTTCTTAGCGTCCTGGGAGGACGAGATTTGGGAAATTAAGGGGATTTGAAAGGAGCCTGAGGAGCTGGAGAGGGAAAATCCAATTTCATAGTTAGCTCATGGAGGACGTCCAAAGGCAGCCAAGATGTGGGAGACTGATGGCCCAAGGTAAGCTACCCTGGGTTAGCCAAACCAAACTGCTGCCTGTTGATTTTCTTTACCACATGCGAGCTGGCTGCTGACAGGGACCGGTTCATACGGGGCACTATTTCCTGCTCCAACAGAGCAGTCCACACTTGATGAAAATTGCTATGCATTTGTGAAAGAGAACCTGGGTCCCCCTCTGCTGATCCGGTCCTAGCATTACAAGCATTGGCAGAAAAGTCCCAATTTACACCTTTTTACACACCGACACCCCTTTACTTCAGTTTGTGACTTTGTAGGTGAGCTCGCCCAGATTCACACCAGTAACGGCTCAGCCCTGGTTTATGCCATCCCCTGGTTTTTACAGGGATGTTCCCACAGAGCTCAGCTAAAGCTGTCACTTTATGGACATACACAACATAGTACACATACGGACACAAAATATGTTATTTATTGTGAATTTTGCAAAGACACATTTAAGCAACAAAATATACATTTGTGGAACCTTTAGTTTTATACATAACAAATACAATCTGCTACCATAGCAATAAATTAAATGTACATTATTTACAACAGACATAGGCCACCAGGAACTACAAAGCACCGCCTCTCTACATAAAAAATAAACTTTGTCAGATACATTTCTCCAATATTTATTTTCACTCTATAAACTCTCTTCACATTCTAATGATATAAATTCAGCATTTCCCTTTGCAGGATATACGCAGTGCTACATTCATTAAAACATAATGCAAGCATGCTCTAGGACTGGGGAACGACGGACTCTCTGCCAGCTCCAGTGGAACAGAAGTTGGGATACGAGCGAAGCGACGCGAGCGCAAGGTGCGATCCGCAGGGGTGCTGAGCTCTGACCGGGCAGCCGCCGGTTTGCCAAGCAGTTACCAGCGCTGGGCACCTCTCGCCGCCAAGCTGAAGACAGCCGAGCCGCCTCAGCCCCAGTGACCCAGCCCATCCGCCCCAGCGACGTACCCCGGCCCCTTCACCCGCCACTCCTGAAGACCCTCCAACCTCTAGAAAGAAACTGAGTTTGTGCTTAGGACCCGCCCCCCCTTTTCGCTCAGAAAAACAGCACTTGCATGTTGTGCTTAAGTGGAATCCTGTGCTTTGACTCGGTGGGATTTCAAGAGGATGCGGGTACGTGCCAAGCGCTTCCCGGCACAGACGCCGCTCGCTGCCAGCTCTCCCCAGGGCTGGGGCAGGAGCCGCTGGCCGGGGGGAGCGGGGTCCCCCCCGCACTGCTGCTGGGACGCAGGGCCCGGACCTGCCCTGCCTCTGCCTCTGCCTCTGCCCCCCACCACGGTCGGGAGCTGCCAGGCTGCGGCAGGGGCAAGCAGGGGACCAAAACCCCGGCGAGAAGGGGGGCAACCCCCCCCCCCACCAGGGAGACCTCCCCAGGCAGCCGGGGCTCCCCCATCCTCCCCAGCCGCGTCTGCGAGCCCCTTCTGCTCCCTGTGCGAAGTCACGCCCGAGTCTGGTAGGAGTTACGTGCATGGAAACGGTGGGGATCAGAAAGGAAAATGCACTGCTCGATAATTTTAGTGTCAGTTAAGGATCCTTTCTTTTATATATATCTATCTCTATATATACATACATATATCTCACTTTTATATATGTATATATATGTGTGTGTCACTTACAAGCACAAAACATTTTGTAATATATATACAGGGACACCTTCACCCGCTGCTGGAAGTGCAAACGCCTCCGAGGTTTAACACAACTGCTGGTCAGTCCCCAGCACCGCTACGGGACAATCCGGGGGCTGAGAGGAGCCCACCACGCACGCGGCGAGGGAGAAGCCACGCCAGAGCCGGGCTAGGACAGGAGCTTTAGAAGCCCAGCTGCTATCGAGGATGCTGCAGTCGGTTTTTGCAGCCCGCCGTGAGGAGTGCTGTTGAAAATGTCCCGCAGCACACAGGAGCCACGGGCAAACTCTGTGCCAGAGCTTGGCTCCGGGCCCCGCTGCCGTTCCAGCGGGCTGGCGCGGGGAAAGGCGAGTCCAACGCGCTGCGTGGCTCTCCCTGGGGCCCCACGCTGCCCTGCCTGCCCGCTAACCCCGTCCGAGGAATTCTACAAATCAACCTAGGTCAAAAAGGAAAGTCAGAGTTTCAAGTTAAAACAAACAAACAAACCACCAAAAATGAAAACCCAGCCGACAGTAGCCACAGCACCTTCTGCTGAAAGATCTCACAGAGATCAACACCCATGCCAATGACGACGTCTATGGAATCAAGCAACTTCTCAGGGGAAAAAAGCAAAACCAAGAACAGACCCTCAAAGCAAGTCGTTGCACCAATCAGTATTTCACTGTGCGGCATAAGAAAACCAGACCAAAAGCTTCTAAGAGGAAAAACTGGGGGTGGGTCTGAAAGTGCTACCGAAGCATCGTCAGACAGAAGTGCTGAACAGCAAAGTATGTGGAACCTGAGACGCCTAGAGCTAGCTACGGCCCGGGCCAAGCACACCGTGCTTTCCCTCTTCCACAGGAAACCTCGAGATTCAAACTCTATTTAAACGTAACTCACTGAAAGCAGGAGGGGACAGGCCCCCACTGGTGGTTATCGCCATTCACCAGTCCTCCACGGCGCATTTAGTGCCCGTGAAACTGTTCTCTGCCTTTTCCACAATGTGTTTTCCCCCTTTATTCCGGTTCCTCTCCCACTGGGGCTCCAGCCTTCCCTTCCCAAATGGAGAAATCACGTGCACAGGTGGGAGCACCGGCGTGAACCGGGTTTGAAGGTTGTGGGGTAGGACCGTGCGGAGCCTGGGCGAGCAGAGCCGGTTCGGCGTGGCTCGGCTCTGGCCGGGGGGGGCAGGGGGAGGTGATGGTTTGCCACCCCAGGGGGGTGCATCGCCCGGAGCAGCCCGGGGAACCCCCCGGGTGCTGTAGGTTGTGCAGTGCTCAGAGGGGCTGCCGGACGCTCCTGCGCCCCTCGGAGCTCCGGCCCCGGGAAGTTAACTTTGGCACTCAACGCTCTGTTTTCATTAGGAATCACGAACTCGAAGAATTACTTTCACTTGAGATTGAGAACCTTATTTCGTGGGGGTTTCTGCAAAGGTCACAGACTGTGGTAAGGGGGAGGGAGCATCTCTGCGGCATTGCAGCCTAACTTTCAAAAAACTGGAAAGGGAAATCTATGAGCAACGTGAAATTCATGGACAGACTTCAGTGAATTTTAGACAAAGTTCCATAAAATAGCAAAAGGATTTCTTGTCATGTTGAGAGAGGTATTTTTTGGAAAAGGGCATTGCAGAATTCATAATCCTCGTCTTTCAAAATAAACAAAAGCACATTCAAAAGCAGCGGGACAGATTCTGCAAAGGGTGGAGCAGCCTAATGCCATCCAAATCCCTGGAGTTCTGCACGCTTCCAATCCGCAAGGTAAAGCACAGCCCACCAGGTAAATCCACCCTGAGTACCAGTTCTGGTATTTAGATGTACTACAGCTTTAGCTTTGGTTAATCTTTTCCAGGCCTGTGCTCAGAGTTTTGGGCAGGGAAAAAGCAGGGTGGCTGTACAAACCACATCCGAAGCAGACGAGAGGCTGAGCCGGCCCCAGGCACCAGCTCTGCCCCCTCGGGACTGGTTCGCACGCCCTCCTCACGTGCCAGAAATCCAATACGTATGGAGGGAGAGGCTGCAGCTGCCCTAAAAGTTTAGCGATGGGGGTAGCGAGCTGGAGAGGGGGCGGCAGCAGGGGCGGCTGGTGAGCTGCCGCGGCCCCGCTGCGCTGGGCAGAGCCGCGGGGGGAAATTCTGCCCCGTTGTCTCTGCCCAGGGAAGAGCGACCGCAAATGATGGAGGGGAACTGCCCCAGGGCCAAGCAAACGCATCGTTTTGCCCTTCCAAAAAAACAAACGCAAGCCCCCTGCTTCCCCACAGATAGCTGCAAATAAAGCCTGGAGGGACCTGAACGGCGCCGGGGGTCCATCCTGCTTCCCCTCTGCCCGAGAGGAGCTGGGAGCGGGGATGGATGGTGCCCATCCAGCACCCATCAGCCGCAGCACCCGTGGGGTGGCACGGCACGGCACGGCACGGCACGGCACGGCACGGCAGAGGGCACGGCGCAGCGGGAGGGGTGCGGGGCGTTTGGTGGCGAGGGGGGCACCCGGTGGGAAGGTGGCTGGGTCCCTGCCGGGGCAGAGGTGGCGGCAAGGCGAGAGCATCTTCCCAGCACAGAGGTGCAGCCGGGAGGGGAGGGCACCTCGCGGCCCGCGGCCGGGGCCTGCGTTTTCCCACAGGATGCTGAAGAGTTTTCCCTTTGCTGAAATAAAAATTCTCTGCAAAGAAGAAAAGGATAGAAGTGTCAGAGCCTGTGGAAGGAGAATATTCTCACTGCTGCTGTAACAGCTACGAAGCGCCAGTCCCAGGGAGGGAGCGGACGCCGCGGCAGTGCCCACCCCCGAGGCACCAAGCCCTGGGCCGGGGCACGAGGGAGCTCAGCGATGGGCTGAAAACCACGGCGTTCTGAGCCCCGTGCCTTTGGAAATGGAAATTCCTCTCATTTCAAGTTTTACGGGCTCTTCTGCTCAGCTGGAAACTTCCTAATGAAAACCCCGATTTCACGACATAGAAGGAGCCTGGGAACTGGAGCCCGTGAGACAACCAGTAAATAAATGCCCTGTGGCTGGCAAACGCCTCCTGCATGAAAGCAGCCACTGGTGCTGGCGGCCCCACGCATGGGCAGTGGTCGTGCTGCTGGATGGAAACTCCCCAGGCCCCGAGAGCCCGGGCCGACCACGCCGCACTCCCCTCACCTCTGCCCATAAAATCCGCCTCCTAAGCTGGCTGGTTCCATCTGGTCTGGGGAGGGGGAAGGGGACCTGCTCGGCTTTTCCACCCGCCGTGCGCAGCGCAGAGCACGGCACACCTTGCCCTCCCGGAGACTCACCCATGCGTTTCGTAAAGGTTAACTGGGAAAAAAGAAGCCCTGCTGGGCTGTGGCCCCTCGTCCCCCAGAGCCGGTGGCCAAAGCACTGCGGGAGCGCCTGGAAGTTCTCCAGAGGAACACACAAAGCTACACAGCAGCACCGACGGGCACAGCCCCGTCTGCCACTAACCGCTACGGTTCTTCTCACTCAGAGCTGCCCTTATCTGACAGAAGCGTTTAGGATGCTTCCAGATACGTTATTGATCACATATTTAGTAATAAAACATGCAATTAGCCACTGTTAGCTGTACACACTTGGCTGCAGGCGAGACAAGTCATTTAGCACACCACCATATCCCAAACACTCACCTTTTACAAGTTCATGACTCCTCCTTCCTGCTAGTGGCTCTAAATGAAAAACAGATTATGGGTGAGGTTGCAAATAAAGGGGCAAGGAGTCATGAAATCCCTTCCCCTCCCTTACCGCCTGCCCCGCGGGCTCTGCCTCCTGCCCCCCGGGCCCCGCACCAGCAGCCAGGCAGGGCAGGATGCGGCCGCGCAGCATTGCCCGCGAGCACCTACCGTGCTGGAGCTGCCGTGGCTGAGCTTGTCGAAGCGAAACTTCAGGTTTGACCTTGGAGAGTTTCTGTTCTTTATATCTGCTGGAGGGAGGGGAAAAGAAAAGAAGAAAAATAATAATCTGTGAACAAAAATATTTGCTGAAGCTGTAAGGCTGACTGCTGCTCGACCAGCCTGACAGCCAGGCACTTCAATAGACTGTCATGAGTGCCACCGGTATTTAGTCTATCTTGGCTGAATGTTTCGCAAAATGTGTACATTAAATGTTTTTGATGGAACAAATTGAGGCTTAATTACATTTCACAGTCTTTCTACTGGAAATGCCACTGAAAAGGCTACGAGAAATGACTGATCCCTATAATGTATGGGTGGATTTCCATGTTCTTGGCAGGAAAAATACAAAATAAACACTTTCAACATTAAAAAGGGCTGGTTTAATAGTTCAGAAAATCACTAATGAAATAAGGAGGAGGACCTGTGGGGTGCTGCGATACAAAAAGCCAGCCAGGCTGTGCCGCGCAGCCCAGCTCTCCCCCGCCTCGCTCCCGATGACGGAGCTGTGCAGGCTGGATTTGTGCCTCCCTGGCAGTTCGCAAACAGCTCCCGAGCTCAGCGCCAGCGTCTGCAGCGGCGGAGCCCCCCGGCAGGCGCCCGGCCGCGCCATGAGATTAAAGCCGGGGCGACCTGCGGGCGAGGGGCGAGCGCTGCAGACACCCCCCGGCCCCAGCGCCGCCGCCGCAGCGTGCACCAGCGAAAGGGCCGTTCCTGCCCGTTTTACCCTGCTGAACTGCAGCTCATTTTGCAAATCGCCCGCCCGCCTGAAACGGATGGAGTCGGTGAGCGAGTTAGCAGTAGGGGTAATGGAGCCAAGACCGAGGGAAGCTGCTTGTTTATTAAATAATTTGTGAGTCATGGCTCGGTCCTTGGAGACAGCGAGTTTCCACGACTACTGCACATGCCTGCCAGGGGAGAAGGGAGGAAACAAAGCCACTGCAAAAGCCACCTCTACGCTCTAATTTAGAGGGCAAGCAAATTCCCCGTGGCAATAGAGAACTAAAGCACATGGGGCTGTCTCTCCAGAACAGCCCCGTCAGGATGGGGGTTTCAGGGGCTTGCCCCCCATCCCGCGGGATGCCAGGGCCCCGGCATGGCTGGGGAGGGGGCAGCTCCATCCCAGCGCCGCACACCCCGTCCCGACCCACCGCGGGACCCCGGCGGCTTCCCGGGGCTGCAGGAGCGAAGGCAGAGCCGGTGCCCCCCCAGCCCTCCCGCCCCCCGCCCCCCACCTGTGGGGCTCCTGCTCATGATGACGGGGGTGGCCGCGGCCCCCACGCTCGGGCTCTCGCTGCCGGGTGAGGCACTGTAGACAAACACGTCCTGCTTGAACGGCGACGCCGTCGACGGCTGGCTTCCCTGCACGGGGAGAGACCGGCACACGGGGCTTTCTGCGGTGCAGCCCCCCGTGCCGACACCCCGCCGCATCCCTGCCCGCCCGCTTGCGGGACAGCTCATCCCAGCGGCGCAACCTCCCCACCCCACTGTGCCCAGCACACACTGGGGCGTCCCACGGGGCGCCCCGACCCTCCTCCTCCTCCCCAGAGATGGGATTAAGCCCCTTGATGTCAGCGGGGAGGGCGCACCTGGGGGGGGGGGTCTGTGGGGCAGTTCCCCCACACTGAGACCACGCAGCCGCGGGGTCCCGAGCCCGAGCGCGCCGCGGGGCCGGTTTGGTGCCTACCACGCTGTCGTACTCCTCCAAGGTCTCGCTCTCCCCCGCCGTGCTGCTGAAGCTGCTGGTGCTCGAGGAGGAACGGGAGATGTTCGACCTCCCGTTCTCTTTCAGCTTAATAAACGGCCTAGGAAGGGAGGCGAAACAAAACGAGGGGCACGTGGTTGTCACCCGGAAAGCTGCGTCCCTGGGGCTACCACAGTGGGGACAGACCCTCCCGAGCACCCCCAGAGCAAAGCAGCTGCCGTAGGGAGGAACCTACCGGGGTGCTTCTGTAAATAACCACTCCCAAAAGCATGGGATAAAGGAGTTTGGGGGTGTCCCCAGGGGGAAACCCCTGGGTCAGGCTGACGCCCCGCTGCAGGGAGGGCCGGGCACCGCGGGCCTCCCCAGCACCCGTGCCGTGGGGTTTGGGCAACTTCTATCAAACACCGCTCTTTGCTCTGCTTTTTAAAGACAGCTATTTTCAGACCATAAAGGAGCTGTGCTCATGAATCACCAGAATCTTTTTTTATTCCTCCCTTAATATCACACGTATTTATAGCAAAACCTGGAGATGCTTTTGGTTGACAAAGTCCCCGACGGGCTGTTGAGCTCCAGACGGAGGAGGACAGGGCTCCTCCCGGCTCACCTGTCTTTGTTGGGGCATATTTCAGGGGAGCTGGGGTTGGACGAGGTTTCAGATTTCATCTCTTGGGAAGAATGTCCCAAATCTGGTGTCTTCTGGGCTCCAGAAACACTGTCACTGAGGGCACAAAGAGACGGGTTGCACAAGTTATACAAGAGACTTAAAAAGGATGGTCAAATTATACTCCCTAACACCAAATGCTAAACTGTAAGAGTAACAGATGCTCGGTGGATACCACCACCTCGATTTAAAACAGAGGGAAGGGATCCAAGGCACAATTCCTCGAACACAGCAGAAGCCATTCCCGTTGCTGGATTGTGTGGAAAGGGGCGGCTCCAGCACCCCCAGCAGCTTCTCTAATGTTTGACACGCAATTGGGGTTTTAACCCCAGATACCAGGGCGATGTCAAACTTACCACCTTGTCCTGCTCTCTGCCTGGCTCTCCGAGCCCGTGTGCAGGCGAGGGAACAGCCCCGAGCGGCGCTTGATGGGGCTCCTGGACTGGTTCTTGGTGGCAGCTGCTGGTACAGGGGGCTGAAAGCACACAAAGGTCCAGGTTGGAGGGCAAAGCTCCTTCCTGGGAGCTCGTAAGACTAACCATCCTCTGAGGATTATGCTGCCTGCAATTCTCAGCCCGCGCATCTAGACAACATGTGATGCCAGGATTTCTTTTGTATCTCCTTTGTACTTTGGGGATGAAAACCCCAGGAAGCTAACCTCCAGTTCTGCCACAAAACAAACCCGGCTTTAACACAGCGCTCGTAAAACCACGCTCGGCTCAAACCTCCTCCTCGCCCGCACATTCGCTGCCTGCACGGGGGACTGCCAGATTAGCCCTGCCTGGCTGGGGAGGGAGGGAGGGAGGGACAGATGGAGGGACAGGAGGACAGAGGGACGCGCGGCCGCGCTCACCGAGAAGGTGGTCTTGGTCACCTCGCCGCTGTTGTGCGCGATGCCCCCGCTGAGGCTGCCCGGGATGCCGCCGCCGTGGTGCTTCTTCTGGCTGCCCACCATCGTCTCCATGGAGTGGCTGCGCACCCGGATGGCTCTCTGCGGGGGGGGGGGGGGGGGGGACAGGGGACAGCAGGTCACCGGCGCCCTGCGGGGCCGCCGGCCCCAAGCCCCCCTCCCCAGCCCCGGGTGCCCCCCAGGCACACCCCAGAGTGCCCTGCCCCTGAGAGCCGGCACCGACCACCGGCCCCCCCAGTGCCGACAGCAGCCATCGCTCCGCGCAGCCCGAGGACGAGCCGTCCCTGGGGGGGCTGCACAGCCACGACAAGGTCAGGCTGACCCCCTCCACAGCAACGGGGACCACGGCCGAGCCGTAAGCCAGCGTTTGGATGCAGAACCCCATGGTTCTCCCTGGATCGGAGAGGACGCGTCCCACGGGGAGCCTCCTGCTCTGCCCGTGCCTCTCCCACGCGCCAACAGACCTCTCCGACCTGCCCCAAAACACCCCCAGAGTTGGGGGCTTCGCAGCTGTGCAAAAGTACTTCTGTTCTTCAGCGTGCCTATGCTTGAAAAATAGGTTTATCCTGAACCGCTGCTGCTGCTGCGTCCTGGGTTTGAGTGAGTGGGGAGGGTTTCTGGTAGCAGGGGAGGGGGCTATAGGGGTTGACCCATCCAGCCCTGTGCAGGACCCAGAGATGCGCTGCACAGCATCGTCCCCAGGGCAGCCACAGACTCTCCCTGCTCCCTTCACTCCTCATTTCTCCCGGCCAAGCAGCCGCCTTCCTTCACTCTTCACACCAGCCACCCTCCCCCGGGCTCTGGACACGCTTTCCTCAGGGCTGCCCTTTCCTGAGCTGCACCCCCGAGCCCGGGCGCAGCTTCCAGCCCCTGCCAGCGCTGCAGCCCGGCACGGCGCGTCCCCGCTGCCGGGTCCAGCAAACCAAGGGCTGTGATCACCGCCGTGCCACGCTCCTCCTGCCACCCGAGCCCTCGGCCGAAGTGCCCGTGGCCTCCTCCCAGCCCGGTCTCAGCAAACCACAGCCTCTCCCCAGCTGCCCCAGAACAGCCCTGTCCCTTTGGGCACGGGCTGGCTTTTATGGGAGCGAGATGCCCAGCGCAAGCCCTCGTGCCCCTGTCCCCTCCAGCTGCCCCGGAGCCCCGTGCCCCCAGGGATGCCCACGGCCAGGCGTGTCCTGCCCGGGACGGAGAGGAGGCACCCAGTCCAACCCGTCCCCATGGTGGGACACTGGGGCTGGCCACGGCGGGACTCGCAGCCCCCGTGGAGCTCCCCACGTCCCCCGGGGAAGGACCAACAGCCGGGCTCTGCGAACGGCGGCAGCACAACCTGGGGGAGAGGGCTGCTGGAACCGCTTTGACTCAAACTGCTGCAGGCGTACCAGAGCCAGAGACCTTCTGCAGATCCCAACACTCGTCTGGGTAATTAAACAGGACCTGAGCTATTTTTAAAGTCTTCTTTCCGTTGTTGTCCCAAGCACTTACAAATACGACCACGAGACCTTTTGAAAGTCTGGCACAAGCTATGAAAAGCAGCGGTGAAATGCACAAGCTAAAAAAAAAAAAAAAAAATCTCTACCCACATTTTAATTACTGTAGTCACCATAGTAACAGGAGCCCAAACTGGCCCGTGATGCCAGCGTGCCAATTACAGGAAAGTTTCTCTTCGCAGCTATTGCCCTCGAATCGCTGCTGTGCCCATGGCCGCCTCTCCCCGAGCCCCCCGAGCCCCAGCTGAAGGTAAAGAGATTTTGGAGAAAACAAGCCACCAAGGGCCAGGTTTCTGGAGGTGCCCGGCAGCGGTTTGCTGCTGGCTCCAGGGGTTATGGAGTTGCGGGCAGACCTGCTCCGGGGGAAGCTCTCGCCAAGAGCCAGCCCGTGCCGGGGACCGCGGCCGCCCCGACAGCCGCGCGCTGTCCCCTCCTGCCCGCCCAGTAACAAACACCAAGCAGGAGTCCGTCAGACCTGATTTATTGGGGTCAGCGAGCCATACAAAATTTGACAGCGTTTGCAGAGAAAAGTAACCGGTTGCTTGCTTTGCCGCCAGCAGCCCCGGCGGGCGCTCGCGCCGTGCGGGCAGGACGGCTCCTGCCCCGGGCTGCAGAGCTCTGTGGGGACCCCGACACCCCCTCCCGCAGTGGGGCTGGCCAGGGGCTCCTCTCCCCACGGCGGGGAGGTGAAGGCAGCCCTCCCGCTTGCTCAGAGCCCAGCAGAAACAAGCTCTGCTCTCCTCTGCGCAGCCCGTCCCCACGTTAGGCGGCTGGGGAGGGAGGAAGGGGCTGCGGGCTGGGTCGCGGGTGTGAGGCACCGGGCAAAAAGAAGCGGTGGGGGGGGTCAGGTCTCGCCCCCAGCCCCCCCCCAGCCCTCTCCTCTCCCCGTTCACTCTGACAGCGCGCGGTGGAGGACGTAAGCCAGGATGCAGCCCAGCAGCGCGGTCCCGAGGCGGCCGGGCAAACGCAGCCCAGCCCGGCCCGCGGAGCTCAGCGCCCACCCCGGCGCACCCTGCAACGCCAAGAGAGCAGCGGCCACTTTCCCATGCGCAGAAACCAGGCCCAAAAAAAAAAGTGATTATTTAACATCACCACCTCAGACCCTGCAGTGAACGCTGTGATGTATGACTGCACAGCATCTCGGTTTCTGCATGTCTCGTACCCAAAGAGGACACACCTGAGGCTCCAGCCGCCGCCGCGGCAGGGAGCTGTCACCCCCCGCCCCCCGCAGCCGTGGGTGCAGGGTGAGGTGACTCACCCACCAGTGCCTGTTTGTACTACAGGGAAAACCGTGCCTGTAAGGTTGTGTCTCCGGAGAGCTGACGCGCCGGGAGCGGGATGGGGAGAGGCAGGGACACGGTGCCCGTCACCCACGGCAGGGACACGGTGCCCGGGGGCTCCGCTGAACACCCACCCATGGGTGCAGCCTGGATTTACACAGGCCAGCCCTTCCCTGGTGCAGGGCAGCCTCCCCAGAGCTGGCTGGCTCACTCCCCGAGACTCAGGTGCTGCCCCTCCGTTTCGAGGGATGTCCCCCACCGCCCAGTTGTCATTGTCCCTACTCCCAATGGTGGCTCTGTTCTGTCCACATCATTTTATCTCATTTCTTCTTCTCCTCCCCCTCCTTCTCCCAACCCACCCTCTCTTCTCGCCCCTTACACCCCCAATCCCGCCCAGCACCATTTCCCCTCTCCACACCCAGCACCTCTCACTGTGTCTCCCATTTAACACAACCACCACCACCTCGCCACGGCAGCCACCCCTTGGTGTCCTCCCCACAACCCAATCCTGCAGCCGGGGTGGCCCAGTGGGGCCACCAGCAGCCCGGGGCCACCAGCAGCACTTGCCCTGCAGCAGCAGAGCCCGACTGCAGGCACAACCCGTGCTGGGGTGCTGGCCCTGGACCGAGACCCCTCCGGAGACACGGCGAGTGCCAGAGCACACTGGCGGGAGAGGAGGGTCTTGGGGGGGGGGGGTCTGGAGAGGTCACCCCGAGGGTGGCACCCACCAACACGGCATTGTCAGCCTGTGCCAGCTCCCACTGGGACCAGCCTGGGTGTCCACTGGCTGAGTGGGTGCTGGTGGCAGCGAGCTCCTGCCTCCTCCCGCCGCTCCGCTCGTCCCCCAGCACCGCTCACCCACACCTTCCAGCAGCCTGTGCTCTGCCAGCCCTGCCGGCAGTCGAACGCTGCTGTTGGCGAGGGACACGGGTTTACCTTGAAGGACTCCAGGAAGCCTCCGTGACCCCCGTTCTCCAGCTTGTCCTCCTCGGGCCCCAGCCCCAGCATGGTCTGCGTGTGCCCGTGGAGCTCGTCGTGAAGGTTGTCCAACAAGGCGGCCCGTGTCCGGTCCTGGGGGAGCGAGAATGGGCTCAGGGGTGGGCACCGACGGAGGGGGCAGCAGCACCCCCCGTGGGACACCCGGCTCGTCCCCCCCCCGGCAGCGCCCGCCCCACGGGGCCCCACGGCCGTCAAGGGAGCCGAGACACGCGCACGCTTCGGCCACTCGCCCCCCCAAGCGCTGACCCAGCCCCGCCCAGGCGGCTGCAGGGAACGCCGAGCCCCCCCCGCGCCCGCGGTACCTCCAGCTTCGCAAACTTGTCGGACTTGCAGCAGGCGTTCTCGGCGTTGATGAGCTTGGTCAGCAGGAACTCCCGGAACTCGGGGCTCTGCGGGGAGACAGCCAAGGGGGGAAACACCCCCCGTCAGAAAACTCTCGCACCGGAGCAGTACCGACCCAAAAACCGAGCTCACAGCACCCCGCAGCCCCCTCCTGATGCAGGAACACCGGCGGAAATCCCCGGATGGGCTCGGGGTGCCCTCTGGCACTGGCCGTCACCCCCACACTGAGGCGGGGGCTCGGCAGCAGAGCCGCTGCTGCCACCTCGCACGGGTGATGCTGTGCGATGGTGCACAGCCTCCCGCCCTACCGCAGACCCCCTCGGCCTCAGTAGAGATCAAAAGAACCACACAATCACGGACTGGTTTGAGTGGGAAGGGCCCTCAAAGCCCCCCCAGTGCCCCCCCCCGCCCCGGGCAGGGCCCCCTTCCCCCAGCCCAGGGGGCTCCCAGCCCCGTCCAACCTGGCCTTGAACCCTTCCAGGGAGGGGGCACCCACAGCTGCTCTGGGCACCCGGGGCCAGCGCCTCACCGCCCTCACTAAATAAATAAATGCATATAAATTCCAAAAGTCACCTTTTCCTTAAGCATGCGTGCTTGGAAACATCTCAGACATACACACTGACGTTTTTTATGGCCTGGAACATGCTTCCCGTCCCAGCTCTTACCTTCTGGAACACCGGCGGGCTCGGCAGGGGTGGGCCGAAGGACGGGACGTCTTCCCGGGCCGTGACCGACACCTGCGGAGCCAAGAGAACGGCATTCCCGTGGGTGCAGGGTGATGCTCGCCCCAGCCCAGCCCAGCCCAGCCACGGTGCGCCAGCGCCGGAGAGCCAAGGGGCATCTGGAGCCCTCGCCGTGCCGGAGACACAGCTCCCGCCCAGCCCTCACCAGCCACCCCTCCTGCTGTCGGGAGAGGGTTATCACCATGCACGGCTTTCTGCAGTTGCTTCCTACGAACTCTGTTTTCATTCGTGGCTCTAAGCAATGTGCTTTTGGTTTGAAAAATTACGTCTCACCGCATCTCTTCACAGAAAACAGACGTGACAGGGTTTATGCTACCTGGCCTTGAGCGATGTGTTAGATGGGTATGAGCTGCTCTGAGGCTTGTTCAGATACTGAGTAGCAGCAAAAATCTTTGGCAAACGGGCATGCTGCTATACATGCACGTATTCTATACGTGTAGGTATACACACACACTATGTAGTAGTGCATACATAAACACATGTGTGCGTGCATATATGTATGTTTAATATCCACATCCCTGTGCCTGTGGGGTATGATGCTGGGGGTAACGCTGAGCCCGCGGGCAGGGCAGCTGCCGGGCAGCCGCCTCCAGACCTCGGCCCGAGATGCCGAAGCAAAACTCGGCACGTGCGTGTCGCGGTTCCCCCCACCTTGTACGCCGTGTTCTCTGCCTCGGGGTTTTCCACCTGCACGACAATGTAGGCGTGCAGGAAATTGGAAGCAATCATGTCCGGGACAAACGGCGTGTTCTCCTCTTGGAAGATAATCGCCACAATGTCATTGCCGATGTGCCTCTTCCTCTGGAGCTGAGCGGAAAGGGAACGCGCTCGGTCGGCAAAGCTCCGCTCCCTCGGGAGCATCCACCAGCGCCGGGGATGCCGCGGTGCTGGGGCCCGGCGCTGGGCACGGCAGCGCCAGCGCATCCCGCCTCATCTCTCTTACTTGTTGCGTGTCTCCTTCGGTAAAAGGCAGCTTTGTAGAGACATGAAACATTATCTCCCTGTCCCTGAACACCGTGTACACAGACTCTGCTCCCGTCTGCCCGTGGCTGACATCCAGACCTCCTCGAAAACTGGAGACGAAGGGAAAGGCAGGGAGAAACGAAGAAATATTAATTGAAAGCTCAGCAGAGTCTGCCGGCGGCTGTTGGGGACAGGGTGGTGGAACAAACCAGCTCAATTATCTTTATCGAGGAGCGAGCGAACGGGAAAGAACAAACTGTGCGTCACACAGTGTCACCCAGCATCGCTGTCCCCGTCAGAAATTCAGGGTGTGGGGCAGAGCAGGGCTGGTTGGCCGGGGCCGACACTGCTGTGGGCACCCGCCGTGGGGCCGACACTGCTGTGGGCACCTGCCGTGGGGCTGACACCTCCCTGAGTACCCGCCGTGGGGCCGACACTGCCGTGGGCACCCACCGTGGGGCTGACACCGCTGTGGGAACCCACCGTGGGGCTGACACCACTGCGGGCACCCACCATGGGGCTGACACTGCTGTGGGGCTGGCAGTGCCAAGCACTGTCACAGTGGGCTGCCCACTCCTGCCAGCCCATGCCCCCCCCAGTATCAGGGGTCTCTGCCCACTCCTGCCAGCCCGTGCCCCCCCAGTATCTGGGGTCTCTGCCCACGCCTGCCAGCCCGTGCCCCCCCAGTATCTGGGGTCTCTGCCCACGCCTGCCAGCCCGTGCCCCCCCAGTATCTGGGGTCTCTGCCCACGCCTGCCAGCCCGTGCCCCCCCAGTAGCTGGGGTCTCTGCCCACTCCTGCCAGCCCGTGCCCCCCCAGTATCGGGGGTCTCTGCCTGTGCCACAGCTGCTGTGGTGGTCGCCCTGGACACTCGCCACAGCTGAGCCCACAACACTGGAGAGGGAGCGTTTCCATATGAAGTTAGTTACATCTACGGCTGAATATAGTCAGATTTTCTCACAACCTCAAAACTGCAGGAAAGGAAGTTTTTCTCTCTCAGCAGCTCCAATTTTTTTTTCGGAAAACTCCCCCAGCTTTGAAAAACAAGCCAAAGCTATATTTGCTTCTGCTCTGTACATCCCGCTCATGAGTGAGATGACTTCTGTTCTCGCACAGTAGATATTTTTACATATGACATGGTCTCTTGTTAAAGGTATTTGTAAAATCATTCTTTTTATTTAACTTACCCTTTGAAGTCCTGGAGTGTTATGGTGTCTCCCAGAAAACTCAAGAAGTTCTTGAAGGCAGTGCTCTCCTCATTATTGCCGAACAACTCCTCCTCTTGGGTCTACAGAACACAGGGCGCATCTTTTGAGGGCCCCAGCCCCGGCTGCTCCCCACCCGGCACCAGCCGTGGGTTGGTCACAGCCCACTCGGCCACCAAAGCACCCGGGGGCAAAGCCACTGCGAGTGCCTCCTAGCCCATGGTAAGGACCTCGGGACAGCGTTCAGGAAATACCAAAACACAAAGGAATCCTCCACTGGAAAACTCAAGCCTTAATCATCCCTTGCATGCTACATTTCAGAACAATGAGACCTTAATTATGGCCTTGCACGAATTACTCAATTCAAAATAAAATGCAATATGTAAAGATAATTAGAGCACCTGTCAGAATAATCTGTGGTGAGTTGTGAGACTCAACTGCCTCTGCACTCCCGTCCGGAGCCCCTCGGCTAATGACAGCATTTTCAGCAAACGCGTGGCTTCACAGCCCACAGTCCTCCAAGACAAATGTAACTGTTTCACTGTCTAAACATATATCTGATTAAAATACCACGCCTGCTAAAAGCCATTTTCACATCCACTTTTCCCTACAGCAGCTTGTGGGCTGATTTCCACACCGAATTTGTTCAGTCACATCATTTTTTAATGAGTCAGGGAAACATCCGAGCAGCAGGAAGAGCATTATTAGCGAGGACACCCAGTGACACAGGGTGCTGCGCGTAACTGAATTAACTGCGGGGCCAAATCTGCACCCGTGAACCAGGGACGTCCCACAGGCAGGGACGTGCCCCACGGACGTGCCCCACGGACGTGCCCCACGGGCCGCTCACCTGCCTGAACTTCTGGTAGATCACACCGAACTTGAACGTGTTGTTGACCTCGTGTTCATCATAGGACACTATCATCTGGGACGCCTGCAGTAAGGCAAAATACGAGTTTTTCCATGTGGTAGCTCAAAAGGCAATGTCCAGAAGAGCGAACGCGGTACGGCTGCTCACGGGGGGGGGGGGGGGGGGAGAGCCCGCCGGTGCGGCAACGGCTGGGCAGCGCCCGAGGAGCGGAGGAAACCAAATTTCCACAGAATTAGACCAAAACTTTTCAACGGTGGCTCCAGTTTGGGTTATCAGCATCTCTGGGCTTCGGGTAGGCACGAGCTGTGGTCCCAGCGCCCAGGTGTGGTGGGGGCAGTGGGAGCCCCAACCTCTCACAGCTTTTCTGGGAGAAGTGTGGGGCCTTTTGGTGCAAATAACGTCAGTTCCCGTCGCGCCCCGGCTCCGCAGCCCCAGCCCCACTCTGCAGGGACTGAGTCAGAGATGTTTTTCTAACCCAGCGGGGCTTCGGCCGTCCTCAAACTTCCCGAGGCGGGTTTGATCGCGACCCCAGTAACGACAGTGGGTGAATGAAATCGGTTTCACCTTGGCTACATCAGCGGGTGGTGGAACTGCCCCAGCGCTTAGCGCCCTGCCCGCCGCGGGAGAGGCCTTCCGCATAAAAGGTGCTTGAAAATGATGGATATATTTTTTTTTTTTTTGTAACCTCCCGGGAGCGGGTGTCTACGGCAGCACTAGAGCACACGGGAGCAGAAGCGATCCCGGAGCAGGCAACGAGTCAGGACGGGCACGTCACCAGTGGGTCGGCCACGCGGATAAAACACTGCATCCCCCGCAGCGGGGACAGCCGCCCACCTCCGCCTCCCCCCCTGCCCGGCTTCTCCAGCACAGGCCCCACCCCTCTCACCGGGTTTAACTCAAACCTTAAGGCATCAACCCAAGATCCGGGTTGGTTTTACACCCCCACGGACGGTCGCCGTCCCCTCCTTCCCCACGATCCAAATTCACACCAAAGTGCCGTCAATCCTTGGTGGCCAGCTGACATTACGAGAGGGGGGCAGGCTGTGAGCTAACGCGCTGCCCAGATGGACGCACGGCCCGCGTCCCCTTCGCACCCGGGTACAAGGGAGGGAGCTAGAAAGATGCAGGACGGACATCCACGCTCTGTGTCAGAGCATCTCGGAGAAAAGGGGACAATTAACCCCTTTTCTGACCTTCTCTCCCAGATACACGACCGACCTGGGTTAAGTTACCTCACCTTGGGGTACAGAACCGGGTTAAACTTCAGCCCGGAGGCGTCGTCGCAGAAGGCCTGTGGGCGAAGGCAAAGAGCAGTCAGTGCCGTCCCCCCAGGGGCGCGGAGCAGGCACCCCGGCCCTGCCGAACCTCCACGGCAGCGCTGTGAATGTCTGACGGCGGAGCCCACCCAGCCTGCGCCTGCAGCAGCTCCCCTCCTCGCAGCCTCTCGCTGGGACGCCCCGTGGCCTGGCTGGTACCCGACTGAGGATGCACCGAGGTTTCTCCACGGGTCACGGGAGCTGCCACTCCCTCACCTCTTCCCCCAGATAACAACCAGCGACCTGCCTGGGACCAGCAGGAAACCAACAGCAGGGCCAGCGTGTACCACCCCCCGCTGAGCACCCCTGGACCTGAGAGCCCAGGCACTGCTGCCCCACGCTGCCCTACACTGCCCTACACCACCCAGTGCTGCCCCACGCTGCCCTACACCACCCAGTGCTGCCCTACACCACCCAGTGCTGCCCTACACTGCCCTACACCACCCAGTGCTGCCCTACACTGCCCCACGCTGCCCTACACTGCCCTACACCACCCAGTGCTGCCCTACACTGCCCTACACCACCCAGTGCTGCCCTACACCACCCAGTGCTGCCCTACACTGCCCTACACCACCCAGTGCTGCCCCATGCTGCCCCACGCTGCCCTACACTGCCCTACACCACGCAGTGCTGCCCTACACCACCCAGTGCTGCCCTACACCACCCAGTGCTGCCCTACACCACGCAGTGCTGCCCTACACTTCCCAACGCTGCCCTACACCACCCTACACCACCCAGTGCTGCCCTACACCACCCTACACCACCCAGTGCTGCCCCATACTGCCCTACACCACCCAGTGCTGCCCCATACTGCCCTACACCACCCAGTGCTGCCCTACACCACCCAATGCTGCCCTACACCACCCAGTGCTGCCCTACACTGCCCAACACTGCCCTACACTGCCCTACACCACCCAATGCTGCCCTACACCACCCAGTGCTGCCCTACACTTCCCAACGCTGCCCTACACCACCCTACACCACCCAGTGCTGCCCTACACTGCCCTACACCACCCAACGCTGCCCAATGATGCCCAACACCACTCAATGCCACCCTACGCTGTCCAACGCTGCCCTACACTGCCCTACACCACCCTACACCACCCTACACTGCCCAACACCACCCTACGCTGCCCAACGCCACCCAACGCCACCCAACATGCCCAAGGCACCAGAAGCAGTGTCGCGGGCGTACCCCAGCCCAGCCCCACATTTTACCTTTGCAATCTGGGGGATACTAGGGAGCTTGCTAAATCCTGCCAGGGGAATCCTTTCATGCAACGTCTTCACTTTGGACCTAGCAAAAAAAAAAAGAAATGATCAGACATCAAGGAGTGTCTGAGGGAAGGAGACGCCGGCTGCAGCCCCCGCCTGCCAGCCCTGTGGCGTGCACGCAGCGATGCTCCGCCGGCTCATGGGAAACGACGTTCTGCAGAATTTGTTGGGCCTGGCTAGTAAGCAAAGGCTCAATTTTATTTCTCATCTCTGCAGCTCTTAAAATATTCATAGTTTGGAGGGAAATGACACAATGGTTCAGACGCCCTGGGCCTTGTCAGCCTAGGGAGGGATGGCGATAGATGTGACTGGTGTTATCCCACGTCATGGAGAGGTTCACGCTCAGCTGCAGCGGGTTTAGCAACAGATCAAAGTCCCAGCTCGTTGCTGGGGGTGACGGGGACTGCGCAGTCCCAGCACAGAAGCAGTAGAAGGATGCTGCCGCAGCTTCCCCTCCCACCCCGAGCCCCTCGTGTGCGACAGCCGGCCCGGCTCTAGCATTTACTGTAGAAACAAAACAAGGGACTCCCAAAGAGAAAATGTTTTGCTAAACAAAGCTGCTTTTTTTTTTTCCATACCTGAGTATAATCCTTAAATATTCCGTGCCATCTGCCTCCTCACACTTAATAGAAAGGATCAGATTTCCGAGGCTGCTGGCTGTACAATAAAAATTTAAATGATCCTAAAAATAGAAAACAGTGCATTAGTGGGGGGGGGAGGCAGGTTGCTGATGGCCAGGACGCTGCCCCGGGAACACCCCCTCCTCGCCGGCACCAGGGCTTTAACCCCTCTGCCCCCAGATCTGGGCAGGGGCAGGAAGAGGATCGCAGGACTGCGAGCGAGGGGGGTGCGGCAGCTCCCGCGCCCGGCCGAGCCCCAGCTCCCCGCGCACGGGGCAGGCTCCGGGCCAGCGTGCCCACCCCGGGTCCGGGGGGGTCCCGCCAGCTGTGGGGGCCGGGGGGGCCAAGGCTGTGTGCGTGGCCATCCCTGCCACGGCTGGCCACCCGCCGGTCGCTCCTCTCCTTGCAAAGAGGGAAGTTGCAGAATTTGCCCGTTTTGCCCACAATTTCGGAATCCCTTTTTTTTTTTTCTGGGAGGGGTGGCGTGCAGTAATTTCCAGCCGGCCCCCCCTCCCCTGCGGCGGGGGCACCCACCTTCCCCAGGAAATGCTTCCTGTAGGCTCTGGCCTCTCCTTTGCACTCCAGCCTGTAGCCGAAGGCGCTGGGGCTGAGGTTCTCCTCCTCCTCCTCGCAGATGCTGCTGTCGGATGAGGTGGGCGTGCCGAGGTTTTCGGGGTCCTCGATCCAGTATCCCCCGAACTGGGGCAGGATGATCAGCGGGTAGGGGCTGCCCTTCTCGAGGATCTGCAGAGATGCGCCCGTGAGGGGTTGGGCAGGGCAGGGGGGTGGATGTGGGGCGCAGGGTCCCATCACCCCATGTCCTGCCCCCCTGCTATCCCCGCCCGCAGCAGCCCCCCAGCCCCAGCACCGGGGGGGAGGGGGGCAAATCCAGCCCCTCTCTGAAACCTCCTCTCCCTCCCAGAAGAGCGCACGTGCCACCAAGGGAAAGCAGCAGCCGCGGCGGTGGGCAGAGGGAGGGTGCTTTGTGCCGCTCCCCTCGGGAACAGAATCTCCACCAAGTCCCCTCTTATGGGCAGTTTTGGAAAGGCGTTTGCCTGAAGGCGTGCAGGGTATTGAGGGCACCCACCTCATCGATGCTGGGGTACGGGATGTAGTCCTCCTGGAAAAGGGAATCAAAACACGGCATGTGACCGCTTGTTCCCCACCGGCCGTCCCTCGGCCGTGCACACCCAACCCGGGAGCGCATCCAGGCACCCACTGCGCCCGTCCCTCCTGTGCCGAGGGGTTAATTAACAACGCGTGGGGCAGGAATGGGGGGGGGGATGCTCCTGGTGCCACCGGACAGCCCAGGAACCCGGCCCGGGGACCCCTCCCCACTCGGGGTCTGCAGGGAGCCCGGTACCGGGGGGGTCTCCGGTACCAGCATCAGCGGCTCAGCTCCGCGGCAGAACCCAACCGTGTCACACAGCTCACCGCTGCGATACACGGGGCTGGACGTAAAGCTGGATTAGGGATTTACAGGCAACCAGTCTCTCATCTTTGCAATTCAATCAGTGCCTTGCTTTTAGATAACATTCAAATCCTTTTCAGTCCCTTGAGTGACTGTCTTTGACTATACACATTAAAGCTCGGAGACAGCGGAGCGATCCATGCAAAAACAAAATTCAACCAACCTTATGTTTTTGGCTTCCAGTCCTGTGTTCTTCAAGTTTTGGTGCCTGGTTGGAACAAAATGAATAGATCAAATAATTAAGACGTTTTCAGCAACACAGACAAAACCACGAGGGTATTCTGCTACACAGAAATCACTCTGACATGAATGGAGTGAAAGGAGGGAGTTTCTGCCGGTGTGCCAGGACAGACCCCGTCATAACACGGCAAAAATGGGTGATGGGGATGTGGCAGGACAAGACCTGGAACACAGTGACATGCACTGAAAATGTCTAAATGAGGGGCAGGAACTATCGGTTCCCAGGTGCTGGCACAGCACCGAACACAAGATGCCCCGTATCCCACTCCAGCTTCGTCTTAATTTCTCCGGGATGGGCTCCTGGAGGAAATCCCCGCGCTGCGGAGCGGGCCCAGAGCCCCGGCGCGTGGCAGGGTGACGGCCCCGGCTGTCCCACAGTGCTGGCCCCGGCGGGGGCACGGGGACAGGGACAGCAAACCCTGCTGGCACTCGCCCCTGCCGCGCTGGGGGGGCACTGGGCTGGGGGGGCATTGTGCTGGGGGGGCACTGCGCATCCCAGCACCGGGGGTGAGCGCTGCCTGCCCGCACCCCCACTGCGGGGACCAGGCACGTGCCAGGGGACGCCCTGGTCCCCTGACCCTCCTCCTCGGGCAGGTTCTGGTGTGTTTTACTGTGGGGCGAGAGGCCGTGCCCCGGCCCGTGGGGCAGCCCCAGACCCGGCCGCGCTCAGCCCCCCAGCGCTGTGCCAGGACGGGCAGCGGCATCCTGCCTTTGCCAAGGAGCAACGGGACGGGCTCTGAGAGCGCGTGCCCCTGCCTGGTGACACACAGGCCAAAACCTAAACCCTCTTCCACAGAACGGCTTGGGGCGATGCGACCTCGGAGGAAGATGCTGCCGACACCACTGCTCCCCCCCAGTTTGAGCTGGGAAGCGCCCGCCGTGCCCCCCTCGGCAGGGCTGGCGTTGCTGGGGGCTTCAGCCGCGACTCAAACCACGTCAGGGTCGTGCAAGGCCTCCCGGCACGTTAAACACAGGAGACGCCGCGGGATCTCTGTCCGTGCAGCCTCTGCCGGGGCGGGGGCGGGGGGGGGGGGCAGAAATCCCGCGTTACTGGCACGCACGCTGCTGCTCACCTGCATTTTTTCCAGCATTTCGAAGAATTCTGCAGACTGAAAAAGAAAAGATGGAAATCTCCTGTCCCGTTGAAGCAGGCATAAGGCAAGCCAGCCCAAGTCAGGGCACGGCAGGGACACCAGACCCCCCACCCCGTACCAGCACTCTGGCTCTGGCTCTTAATGGGAAGGGGAAGAAAAGGCTCTGCCCACAACTGGCGGTGCGAGCCTCCCGCCATGGGGCAGGGACGGAGCCCGCAGCCGCCCCGCACCCCCCTAACTCCTCCCGCTCTGAACTCCATTTCCAAGAAAGCATGAGAAGATGGGCCGAGCGACGCCGCGGCGTTTGTCCCGCGCCCCAGCTGCAGCCACGGCAGCTCCCCTCCGGGCTGACGCCGAGCTCGGGCTTTGCTGCTTGCAGCTCACCAGCGCCGGTAACACTCAGCCCCGACGATCTCCCAGCCTGCTCCTGATCACGGTTATTTAGCCATTTCTTTTTTCTCATCTCAGCAGTGCCAGGTCCCATGGGCTGGACAATCTCTTTGGGCTCCTGTTGTTCCCTGGGTGTTTTCCCAGGTCTCCGAGGTCCGTGTTTCCCGGCTCTCTGCCACGGTGACTCGGGGTAGTGATGCCAAAGGGAGAGCGGAGCCGGTGGTGCGATCCCGCGGGATGCAGGACAGCCTGGCAGGAGGGAAGGGGAAGGGAGGGCGAGCACCCACCCAGCCACGCTCCGCTGCTCCGCGATGGGCTGCTCCTCCTGCACCGCGGGTGCTGGATCTCGGGGATCAGGCGGGGAGAAAACCCGGCCGGCTGCCAAAGGCTGCAGGCGTGGGGTCTGCTGAGGACGTGGGGCTGGGGGGCAGAGTCGATCCCGCCGCGAGCAGAGGGACGGGGTGCGTGTGCCCTGGGCCCCGCGGTTCTCCTGCTGCTTTGGAGGGCCCCCGGCAGCAGCAGGCCCGCACACACAAACCAGCAGAAAAACCCATTCCTTTTGAAATGGAACGGGCCCGAACCAATTGATCCAACAAAGCAAATCAATACTCTGGCACATGGGACACCTGCAGCAGCCCTCCCCGCCACCCTCACCTTGCCAGGCGATGCCGCTGCCGGCGGGACCGGGCTGCCCGTGCGGGGCTTGTGTCCTACTTGCCAAACCAACTAAAGAGATTAGCCAGCCCCAGGCTCCGATTAAAAATCCCACGTGGCCTGTGCAGCCCCCGAGCACCCCGAGCCGCTGCAGCACACGCGGGGCACACGCGGCTCCTGCGCCTTTGGCCAGGCTCAGCGCAGGGGGCTTGGGGACAAGAACCAAACCCAGAGCGGGAAGAACCCGCTGCCACCTCCCCAGGAGAGGGGCTGGAGCCACGTCTGCCCCGCTCAGCCGCTTTCCCAGGGCAGGGGGCACTTTGGGAAAGTGTTCCTGCCCTGTCCACCCCGCGCTGCCCAAAGGGGCCCCGGCCGGCGCTCCGTGGAGCTGCTCCAGGGCTGGGCAGGCACCGGCCACCTTTCCCACCCGGTCCTGCCGTGACGTCTGGACGCAGCAGACCAGCACAGGCACGGCCCCACCAGCATGCCCAGCCACGGGGAAACTGGTGCTCCGCGAGCAAGCACCAGCCTCCCAACCCACCAGGCACCTGCGGGGTCACCCTGCCGGAACAGCAACCCCTGAGCCGCAGCTGGACGCTTCTGATCCCTCGCCCGGTGTTTCCTGCTCTCATGTACACACAAATAAATTATCTAGTCAAGCTACGGCTGTAAACGGTGGGGCACTCCCAGTAAACTGCTAAGTCACTTTTCTGGAGACACGCCGCGGCTGCCCCGTCCCTCTTTTCCCCCATCCTCCCCCCCCAACTCCCGCCGCAGCCGAGGGGCTCAGGAGAGGCTGGGGCCACGGCGGAGGCTGGCGGTCCGGGAGGGAGAGCAGAAAGCAGGCTCAGCAGCTCCAGTGCCGCCGGCTGCCAGAAATGGTTTGCAGAAAAGGGGTGTGAGATTTGGGGCAGAAAGGGACCAAGGAGAAAGGCATGGGGGGGGCGGGGGGGGGGTATGATTTTTCGTGAGTTCTTAGACTGAATTTCGCACAAGACAAAGAAGGGAGATAAAACAGAGGAGGAGATGAAGAGATGAAAATCCAAAACCAAATGAAAACCTCAGAAGATTTTCTTTTAATAAATGTGGTGAGCAAAGGTTAGTTTAACGGTACGAGCAGCCCAGTGACTGCCCTTGGTGATACCAGCTGGGCCGGGGCAGAGACGCTGCCAGCACAGGCAGGGACTGCCGTGGCTCGGAAGCAGCCCTGGCCGTGTTTATAGCTTGAGACTATGCCCTGGGTTTATCTACTGCACCCACAGGAGGCAAAACGAACCCCAGGCTTAGAAGAGCTCTGTGCCCAAAGCTGGAAGCACTTTAAAAAGGCTTTTCCTTATTCTTGGTTTAGATTCTGGTTTATCTTCAGGTCTCTGTGATGGACAAATGCTCTTTGTGGCAATTAAAATAATAATTTCCAGGTGCCCCTCCGCCTGCAGCCAGAACCAGGGAACCAAACGGCCCAGCAGCACCGGATCCACCCGCCGAAGCGAGTGCCAGCAGAAAGCCTGTACGTGTATTTAATGAAGCAGACAGCAGTCTGTACCCTTTGGGGATTTATGCATACTTAAAGCCAACCTTACTGGGCCACAAATATTTTGGCAATTACAGCGGAGACAATTACAGCTTTGTGGCGCCCGGCAGGAAGCAATGTCACCTGCCGTGGGCCCAGCCGGTGGGTCGGGGACGGTGGGGCTGCGCTCCCCCCACTCGGCGTCTGGGGCTGCCTGCTCCCAACTAAACCTGCATCTGCTCCCTGAACCCAACCAAAGGCAGCGCCAGCGCGGACAGACCGACAGCCCTTCCCCTGCCCCCCCCCGGCAGGACCAACCTGCCCAGCAGCTTGTCCGAACGGCCTCAGAAATGCAAAATGCTCCACCCGAAACGGTGCGGCCGCGATTCCTCCCCTGCTCAGGTGCGCTCAGCCCTCCCCACCGAGCGCGCTACGCGGGCAGCGTGGGAAGGGATGGACAGACGTCCCCCACGCATCAGCGTGGAAAAACGCACGATTCCTCTCCAGCAGCACCGGGACAGGCGCCGGGTCCGAGCAGCGTCTGCCCAGACCCCCCGCACCCCCGGGGCTGCGCTCAGCGAGCGGGCGCCCGCGGACGAGGAGCGCTCGGGGCAGAAGCTGCAGAGCAGCCAGCAAGCGCCCTGCTTTGAAGGTTTTCCGAAGAAAAGGACACCCAGAAAGAAATCCCTGCACCAGGCGGGAGCGCAGCAGAGCTCAGCCCAGCAGCCCCCACCCCGGGGCGCTGCCCCCACGGGTCTCTGAGCGCTCACCAGCAGGTCCTGGAAGAAATCCATCATCGTCCTGGCGTGACCCCCCGCCCCGCAGCAGCCACCCAGCCACGGCCACTGCCGCGACCAGACTTCGGCCCAGCGCCAGGCCGGCCATCCCGCCCCAGCCCCGACACCTCCCTCTGTTAATGTTTCTCCAAGCCGGAGGCCCGGCAGGACTGCTGCTTTGTTATTTCAAAGGGTGGCTCCCCTGGGAGGCCAAGTGCCCCAAACAGGTTGGGCAGGAAGCGGGTGAGCGTTTGCAGGGGACGGGCACCTGCCGGGATGCACAGCCCTGCGGCGGGATGCACGGCCCTGCGGGGGGGTGTACAGCCCCGTGGTGGGATGCACGGCCCCGTGGTGGGATGCACGGCCCTGTGGGGGGGTGTACAGCCCCGTGGTGGGATGCACGGCCCTGCGGGGGGGTGTACAGCCCCATGGTGGGATGCACGGCCCTGTGACGGGATGTACAGCCCCATGACGGGATGTACAGCCCCATGGTGGGATGCACGGCCCCGTGGTGGGATGCACAGGCCTGTGGTGAGATGCACCATGGTGGGATGCACCGTGGCAGGATGCACCGCAGCGGGATGCACTGTGCCCCTCGGGAGGGCACTCACCTGGGAGAGCTGCAGTGGGAACCAGGTGCTGGGCAGGAGGCAGAAAATCTGACCTCTCCAGCTGGAAATCTGTATGTACAAAAAAGCCACAGCCCTTCCGAAGGAGCTGAACAAATCCCAACTGTAAATCCTCTCAGAGTCAGCTCAGGACAAGCCAGCCTGCTGACCCAGCGCTGCAGAGCAGGCACCAGCACCAACAGAGTCTTCCCATCCCAACACCGCCCGAGGGGGAGGCAGGACACAACAGCTTCGGCAAAAATGCCTGCGCGGCTGTGACGGAGCATGGGCAGGCCCACCTGCTGGGCACTTGCTCCTGACCCTGCTCCCAACGCCCGCTCCTACCCCTTGTCCCCCTCCGTGACCCTAAGTCTTGCACAGATCTCTGGGAAGCACCTTAAAGTCTACCAAGAGCTGGGCAGAGCAGGATGAGCATCAAGGATATCGGCTCAACGCGCTCATGCTGTGCAGCATCTCATCGCAGGCTCAGCTGTGCCGGTGCTGAGCAACCGCCTGGCGTGTCCCACGCTGACCGTGACCGTCCCGAGCCGACGTCCCCAGAAGGACCAGGTCTCTGCCTCCCACCCAGAAAGTCACCCCAGGTTTCCTTCCATCAAGCTGATGGCTCCTCAACCCCTGACATCTCCTCTCCCGGGCACCTTCAGTTCCATCTCTTAAATGTCAGCAAATCCACGCCAGCCCCGGCCTCTCAAGAGCCGATGGCAGCACAGACCAAAGCGGCAGCTGGGGCATGGGACCCTCCAAACGAGGAGACACACACCCCAAGCCAGTGGCCCACAGCGAGCTCCCGGCCTGAAGACCGTACGGGTTTATTTCTGTTTGGCACCTCCGGAGCTCCCTGCGCCTGGCAGAGCTCCGCCGCTGCCGTCGCCAGCGCCGCGGGGACCGAGGGATGGAGGGAGGGAGCACGTGCTGCAGGCTCCCAGCTCCCCCTCGCCTTTCTGAAAGGACAACCTGCGCCATCTGCAAAAGATTCTGGAGCCCTTTAATCCTGCTGTAAAGCAGAACAAGTCAGTAATCGCCTTTTAATTGCTTTAATTACATGATTATAAAAACGAAGGACCGGCAGTGAAACAGTCAGCCTCCAGCCTTGCCCGTGGAGCCCGGTCCCCCTGCACATCCAAAGCCAAACCAGCCGCTCCCTCAGCCACAGCACCCACAGTGGCTTGCGATGTGAGAAGAAACAGCCATCTTTGAGATGAAAAAAAAAAGACCCCAGCGTTTGCTTCCAGGGAACTTACATTACCTGAAGCATATGGAGTAGCATCTACACTCTTTTTCCATGCCAGGCTTCCCATAGGTTTCCATGCCAAGTTTCCCAAGCTGAGGGAAGCCTTGAACAGAAGTTTGAACACCGCTGAAGAGCCCGACTCCCCGCATCACCCTGGCTCCAGCCGAGGGGCAGCTGTACCCTGCTGCCTGCAGTGTGCCGGGGGTCTCACCCCATAACCCCCCCTGCAGCAGGGAACTCAGGGAGCAGAGCCCGGCACTGGGGGCCACCTCCGCACCCGCAGAGCCAGGCTCAGCCTGCTCGGCTCACAGGCTCGTTAAAAGGCAGAATTGCCATTTAAAGCGCGACAAGGGCAAAGGCAGAGGCAGAAGCTCTGGGGACGCAGGTGCTGCTGCAAAGCCGGGGAAGGCATGAGGGAGCACGGCAGCAGAAGGAGCCCCTGGGACACTGCGGGGCTCATGGGCACAAAAAGTCCCTGCTGCAGCACCTCCTGCGCCCTGCACGGCCCTGGGATCGCCCCTCTCCCCCCATTTCCCACGGTGCCCCCAGGACAAGGCCCCCGCTGCCAGCGGGCTCTCAGGGAAGGCGCATCCCCACTCCCCTCCCTCACTCCAGGCTTCAGCCGCCCCCCCCCAGGACCCCTCCTCCTCCTCTGCAGCCCGACGAGGTGCCACAGCTCGCGTCACCAGTGAACCGTGTCAGCTCCTGCCTGCTTTGTGCACCCGGGTCACACACAAAACCCAAAATAAGCCAAACCGTCAGAAGCTCCACTAATAAACTCCTCCAACTCAATACTCTATTTCCAAGCCCACTTGCTCTTAACAACCATTTAACCAGGTTCTCAGCCACCTCGTAATCCTCACATCCATCTCATCTCCTCCAGCTTAATGAGTAATTTCAGGGTGGCAGCACACTGAGCGCTCTGCAGCAACCCAGGGAGAAAAGCCACAACTGCCTTTGTCTGGAAACTCTGGTATTGCAGAAATGTCTGAGTTTACTCTGACAGAAGCTACTTTTGGTGAACCCGTGTTGCATTTTACCATATTTTCCCATTCATTTCCATCTCTCTGACTTTTCCTGCTGAATCCGCTCCACAGCTTTGCCTCAGGTCACCGCCCCAGCTCTCTGCATCGCCCAGCTCGGCACAGGGCTGCGCACCCCCTGCTCGCTCGAGACTGTTTGAGGGAGATAACTGCGAGCCGGGAGCTGCGGACGTGCCCAGTCAAGCCGGGCTCAAGCAGGACCAGCTTCCAGGTCGCTCGTGACCTTCTCCCGTTGGGTTTGGTTAAACTGCCGGAGGGGCAGAGCCGGGGGGAAGCACTGTGTCCCATGACCTGCTGCCTCCGCCACGGCTAAAGGCGGTGGTGGAGCGGTCCTGGCGCGAGCGAGCGGTGGGTCGGGCCGTGCCAGCAGCGCCTGCCCGCCGGGGATGCACCATCTGCCTCGTGCTGGCAAGCAGCCGCCCGCCGCGGCGCCCGGGGAGGGTTATTAGAAGGGTAACAGCACCGGGATCCTGCACCCTGCTTGGCATCGCCGCTCCTGATTGCGTAACGTGAGCGGCGGTGCAGGATGGGGCCCGCCGGCACGCACGCCCCGCTGCCGCTGACGGCGCCTGAACACGCTGCAGGCTGAACTCCAGAAACCACCTACTGCTGCTCCCTCGGGAACAGCCCAAACCCGTACAGCCGCTGCGTTGGAAGTGCCGCTCCGCACCAGCTTCGGTTTCCAAAACCGGCGCCTCGGCTGGACCACGCGCCCACGGCCCGGCGTCGCCCGCACGCTCACCTTCATGGTCGGCGGGGCGGTGAGGGGGGGGGACAGCGGCCGCTCCGGGACGGTCACATCCGCGCTGTTCAGCAGCTCCTGTTTCCTGAAAAACCAAAGGCAGGCGTGTCAGCTTCCCCCGCACCCCCAGCGAGAGCGCGAGGCGGGAGATAAGGGCTTATCTTTTTTGGCAAAGCCGCGGGCGTGCGGGCTGCCTGCGAAATAGTAGCTTGAATCTGAGAAAAAACCAAGCAGACGGCATAAAAAGATGAAAGAAGTCCTCTGAAGGGCCCGGTGCCCAGGGAGGGCTGGGCCCCCTTCCTGCCCCTCCGAGCGCCCGGGCTCCATCGCCGGGAGCCAGCCGGAGCCCCGCTGCGGGGCTGGGGCGTGGGGACCGCCGGGCTGGGTTTCTATGACAACCCATCCCCATGGTTTCCCTCCATCTGGCACCTTCCCTGCCCGGGCAGGATCCCAGGCCGGCAGCCCCAGTGCCGTGGACGGTGGAGGAGGATTCCAGCCCGGTGACACCGGCGTAAAACCCAGGGACACCCCGGCGTGGGTTTGGCAGGGCCCCGTGAGGGCCCCACTGCTGACCCAGGCGCCGAATCTGGAGGCAGTGAGAGGCGTTGTGAGGATGCGAGACCCCGAGGGAGCGGGGAGCAGTCCCTGTGCCACGGACCCACCACAAAAGCCCCCCCCAAAACCTCAAAAAGGCACGGCCTTGTCCCTCCACTGATTATCTGATCAAAATACCCTGCCCCTTTCACACCAACAGCTTCCCGGGCAGACAACCAAGCCGTCACTCGCAGCAGTACTGCCAGATGCTACTCTGGGGGTCAGAAAATCTGAGATTTAATTTAGTTTCCTCTCGTCCTTGCCAGGTTAGTCCTGCAGAAACCCGGCCAAAATGTCCAACTGTTTATCTCGCAGTAACGAGGTTTGGTTCCCATGGCAGCCTGCCCTGGGACAGCACGGCACGGCGTGCACAGCAGCCGGGCACCGATGCCCGCCGGGGCCCTCCCCAAAACAGGCAGGAGCTGCCAGAGGGTGCGCACCCCACCTCCTGCAACGCCGGCCCCGCCGCCGCCCCGGCTCCTGCCCTCCTGCGCCGGGCCCCAGCTCTCATGACGGCCGGGGACAGCCACAAGCTGGTCACAGGGGAGGCTTGGGTGCCCCCAGCAGGGCTGCGTGCTGCAGGGATGCGGCGGAGATGCTGCAGGGATGCTGTGGGGATGCGGCGGGGATGCTGCGGGGATGCAGCGGGGATGCTGTGGGGATGCGGCGGGGATGCGGCGGGGATGCAGCAGGGATGCAGCAGGGATGCGGCGGGGATGCAGCAGGGATGCGGCGGGGATGCGGCGGGGATGCTGTGGGAATGCGGCGGCGATGCTGCGGGAATGCAGCAGGGATGCTGCGGGGATGCGGTGGGGATGCGGCGGGGATGCTGCAGGGATGCAGCGGGGATGCAGCGGAGATGCTACAGGGATGCAGCGGGGATGCAGCGGAGATGCTACAGGGTTGCGGCAGGGATGCGGTGGGGATGCAGCGGAGATGCTGCAGGGATGCGGCGGGGATGCAGTGGGGATGTGGCAGGGATGCAGCGGGGATGCTGCAGGGTTGCGGCAGGGATGCGGCGGGGATGCAGGCAACTTTTCTATGAGACCACTGGTGCAACAGCGAGTGCAGAACCCCACCACCACCTCTGTGAGCACAGGAGCGGCTGTTCGGCTGCATCCCTGCTAATGAGAGTCTGAGCCGGAGCTTGAGAAGGGCTCCTGCTCCTCCTGCCCCCAGCACAACTGCTCTGGCTAACGGACTTCTGCTCCTGACGGAACCTGACTCCATCTCTTGGAACACGTGTAAATGTACACACATACACGCACAGGCACACACATACAGATGAGCATTTGGGGGAGAGCCCTCTGCGCGCTGCGGGTTGCTGGGAGGCTCCGCAGCCCCCGCTGAGGATCCCAGCCTGCCCGTCCCTCCCAGCACCCCAGCCCAGGCTCGGGGTCCAGCACCTCTCCCCGGCGCTGCGGGCCCGGCGTCAGGGCAGAGCGATGGGGAGCAGCCGGAGCCAGCGGTGCCTCGGAGCCGCGTCCCCGCGGCCGGCACGGTGAGATTTGGAGCTGCCAGGCTGAGCTGCTGACGTACTGCACGTGCGGAGACAGGAGACGCGGGGAGCTGCAGCGCCTGAGACCGCGGGAAGGAAGGGACAAACAGGACACAGATCGATTGTTCTCATTAGCCAACGACCAAGGAAGGAGAATTAATGGGCTCCAGCTGTAGCCAGGGGAACGTCGGCTGGATGTCAGGGAAATTCAGGGCTGGAGTTCAAGCCCATAAATCTGTCCCAGAGGCGTAAGACCGGCCCAGGCCGGGCACGGGGGGGTCCGCACGGCGCGGGCAGGGTGACGCACCGCCGAGCCGGGACCGGCTGCTGGACTGCGGGGACCTGGCTCACGGCCCCCGGGGCCCCGCCGGCCAAATCCTCTGGGACCGGTAATTAGTTGCTGATTGCTGATTGCACCCGCCCGGGGTTTTCCAGCAACGCAACAGCAGCCAGAGTCACTGGGGGAAACACCCAGAGGTTTGTGTCCAAACGTTAATCGTGACCAAGGACTGGCATTTTACATTACCTTAAACCAACATACTTCTTCTTTTCTTTCTTTTTTTTAAATCAGAGCAGGTTAAGTTTGCCTTCCATTATTACATCTCATTTAAGCTCTTCACATCTTCCAGCTTTTCAACATAAGAACTGAATTAAAACGAAGTGGGACGGTGTATGGGCAAGAGCAGAATTCACGTTCTGCCCGTCTGTACTGTTTATCGAGCTCCTTCCCTTTCTCCTCTCCACAAACTCACCATGACTCCACTGCTGAAAAAATGCCGAGGATGACAGATTTTTACTGTTTGCTCTTTGACTTTCTAGGACACTAAAGCACAGACTGATCTAGAGAAAACCACTCATCCTTTGCTCTCCTTGCTTTGAACCCTGAGCTCTGCCTGATTGCACTAATCTGCACAGTGGCCTCAAAGGCATAAAATGTATCAGACTTTGCAAAGATTAAAGTTACAGGGATGCACACAAATAATTTTATTTGATCTGGGATTTGTAGCAGGTTGCCATAGCATCATATTCTAAGTATTATAAAATCACTCACACAACTTAACAACGTGTTCCTCTGTCACATGCTGACTGCTTCTTTGGGGCCGAACTGCTGGAACTGCTCCTGCAATTCCGGGGAGAGCAAAACAAACCCATTCACCAGCCACCGCTTGTAATTAGCCTCCGTGCACTGGAAATATGTTACGTTAAACTGCAACCACAGACTCCGATGATTCAGTCTGCCGTCAGCTCCGAGGTCAAGGGCCACCAGCCCGATTCCCAAACAGATTACCCTCGCGGGATGATAAATGAATCATGAGCAAGATTAGCACGTCTTTATCTACGCACCGGCGCGAGCGGAGGAGCAGCCCCCGGGGAAGCCCCCCGATTCGGATGCCCGCGGGTGCTCCCGGCCGTGACCCGGTCCCTGCCTGGCGCCGGGCGCGTGTCCCCGTGGAGCCTGAACCGCGGCGAAGGGCCGGGGGACGCCGCGCAGCCCCTGCCGTGCCAGCACCCGGCTCCCCCCCACAGCAGCGGCCCCGGGACGTTCAGCCCCCCCCCGGGCGATGCCGGTAGCCCGCAGCAGGACGGCCTCCCTTGCCCCACGGGGACCGGGACCCTCCCGCGGCTCCGCGTCGGCCGTCCCAAAATGCTCGCGGCTCTTCCACCGAGTCCCGCGGCAGGACGGCGCGGCGCGAGAGGAAAACGCAACTCCAGCCCGAGCGCAGGCACAGCCCGGGGGGGGGCACAGGGGGACGGGGAGGGGAAGCAGGAGTAGTGTGATGAGCTGAAGCCTGAGCTCGGCACGGCACAGCTCCGATAAATGGCCTCTGCGATCCGGCACCACAGCAGGCACGCGGCCCCGGCATCGCCGACGTACCGCAGGACACGGCTGCGCTCGCTCCCCGGGGGCTTCGCCCGGCCCTGACACCCCCGAGCCCACCCCGGCCACGGCCGGGTGCCAGCGCCCGGGATGGGCGAGAGCATCTCCGGGGCCGCACAGCCAGACACCGGCCTTCCCAGAAGGCAGCGCAGGCACTGTTTTTGTAATTTTATTTCTTCATTTTTCTCATTAGGCAAATTAAGAGAGAAGGAAAAGAAAGAATTAGAATCCTACATACTTAGTAAATCTAATTAAGGAAATACCTTAATGCAGTTATGCAGGCCCAACCGCAGGGTTCCCTAACAGAGAGGGTGAGATCAGCCCTGCCACCCCGGCACGGGCCCTGTCCCCCCCGGGGGCCGCGCTCGGGGGCACCCCGCTGCCGCCAGCCCCCACCAGGAAGGCACAGCCCGCGAGGCCAGGGCTGCTCCCCCTGCTTCTCCCGAAGGGGGAGCAAATGGGGATTTTTTTCCCCCCCATTTTGAGTGCGTGGGCACTAGTGAGTTCCCAACACAGCGGGGGCGGGTGAAGTCTTTCTCTTGTCTTTAGAGCGTCCCTGATCACATCCCCAAAGCGCCTACAAATTCATATCCTGAACATAGTAAACCCCCACCAAAATATTGAAATTCTGGTTAAAATGCCCCGCTCGGTACAGAGCCAGAGCTGCCAGGACCCCCGGAGCCCCCTGAGCTTTCCCAGCTGAACCCCTGCCTCCAGGCACATGCTTCCCTCCCGCCTTCTCAGCCTAAAGCCTAATGAAAAACTTCTAATGCATCCCACCTCCTTGTTTTGTTCGTCTGATTTACCAGACAAGCTCTAAATTGACACAGTACGTTCATATAAATTACACGTGGGAAGGGGAGATGTCAACATATTATCTGACACGGCAAAGTGTTTCACACTAAGTGGTTAGTTCTACCTTTTGTTACGCTGTGTAAATTAATCATGAAACATTGCAGGTTACCTTTATGCCTACGCTTAATTCTGTGGATGAAACCTGGCCTAAGGAGGTGCAAAACTCTTGCAGCAACAAGTTCAGGCTGTCTAGATGCTGTACCCTTGAGAAGGACAGCAAAGATTATCCTGTAAATTAACAGCCTCTATTTTTGGGCTC